TTTTTTGGTCCAGATGGTCTCAGTCAGTTGCAGAACGAGAAAGCTGACTTCACTGGCTCCAGCCATGTGTTTTTCCTCTTGACAGAAATTAAACTGGTCGTTCGTTTGTCACCGCTCACTACACAGCTTAAAATGTYGCAATGAAACGTTCCATGGTGATAATGCACCGTAATTACTCAAACGCCTGTTCTTTATCTGCAGCAGAGGGACGACAGAAGGAACATTTTCCTCAGATGGATCTGTTAAATCCACAGTCTGCTGCTCAATTGACAAAAAATTAAAAAAAAAGAAGAAAAAGAAAGTCATACATTTTGTTCTATTGGAGGTGAAAAATGCCAGGAACCTTTCATTGTCATGTTCAAAACTTAAGGAGACAAATCTGTAACGGTTATCTCTTAAACAGAAGCTCCTGGGAAAAGCTTGTCCAAATGATGAGCAAGACATAATACCTCTGCCTCAAAACCTGGTGTAGCAGGCTGTAGAAACACGTAACACAAAATCCTGTATGAGAAATGTATTTATCTTAGTAATCCGATGGGCACTGATGTACAGAACAGCAGCTCATTCACAGGTGATGGTATTATTCCACCTTAGAAAGGAAGAGACTTGACGACACAAACAGCAGCACGTCTCAGCCCTCACAAATGAGGTGAAAAGCACACTGTTTTGCGGAGGTGTGAAAAGGTTAACGGTGGCCTCTGACAGCCAGTTCAACATAAAATCAGTCATTTATCGGAAATAAAAGTAAGAGCATCAGAGCAGTCGCTACTCCAGAGATGAAAGGCAGAAGCTGACTCACGGCAGCTGAAACTGACAAAGTAGAGAGAAAAAAATATCCACATGCAGATTATTTTATAACACTGTGCCGCAAATCTAAAAACACTCATGAGCAGGACGGAAAGAAACAGTGGCTAACTGACGTTCAGACACGACCTGAAGCATTCGTTTGACTCAGACCTCTGCTGCAGTTCTTCCCTCTAAAAGCTCAGTAAATCATTCAAGGAGATGCTTGAATGGCCTAAATGTAGCTGTGGGTTCAGTCCAGTTTTAATGCTTTGTGAGAAAGTGACAGGCGTCTGCCTTTCAACTAAGTTTCACTTCTGTATTTTTTGATCTTTTAATCTCCCCACCGACTTCCCTCCTACTTTTTGTTTAAAAAGTGACAAATGATTCATTGAGCTTTTTTTTACATGTAAGCTGTAAAAACATTATTTATAGCATTTATTAACCTTTATTTAAACAAATCTCTTTGAGATCACAAACTTTTATTTATTTATATTTTTTTTACATAAGGCCCAGGACTGAAGGCAACCTAAATATATATGTTTGTGATCTATTCGAGAAAATCCACGTAAACACAAGAGGAACAAGAAAACATTCATACAGAAAGATCGCACGCCCAACCCAAAACAGGGTTTAAACCCATGTCCTTTTTGCTATGATGCAATAGCCTTTATGCTGCCCAAATGTGCCTATAAGATACAGTACATAGTGGATTATTTTGCTCATAATTAATGTCAATGAAAAGATGACATTACTCTCGTCGCAGTGAACTCTGACAGAAATCATGCCTGAACCTGCCAAGTCTGCGCCCAAGAAGGGCTCCAAGAAAGCCGTGACCAAGACCGCCGGCAAAGGAGGCAAGAAGAAGAGGAAGACCAAGAAGGAGAGCTACGCCATCTACGTGTACAAGGTGCTGAAGCAGGTCCACCCCGACACCACCATCTCCTCCAAGGCCGTGAGCTTCATGAACTCATTCGTCAACAACATTTTCGAGCGCATCGCCTCGAAGGCTTCCCGCCTGGCTCACTACAACAAGAGGTCCACCATCACCTCCAGGGAGATCCAGACCACAGTGCGCCTCCTGCTGCCCGGTGAGCTGGCCAAGCA